ATATATGAGATGGGTGAAAAATCTTCCTGTCGCCCTGTCACTTTGCATACCGCAAATGGTAATTAATTACAATATACTGTATACATAATGTTGTTAGTGAAAGAAGAAGGTCAGATACCTTTTTGTCCTGCAAGGACTTTGCGATGTTTTCTTTACTAGTTGGCAAAAGGGTTCTGGATATGGCGATTTCCTTCTGTTTTACAAGGAAAAGCAGAGAGGTAGGGTCACACACACAGTTTCTAACCCTGCTTCATCATCTACCTGTATTCGAACTGTACTTTTGGCAGAGAGGGTTGGGTTCAAAGCAGCTGCCTCTCATTTAGATCAGGAGAACAGCAGCTCCTGGCGACAGGGTTAACCCTCCTTTTTTGTCCCGGAGCCGCTGCTCTGATCAGAACGGACAGCCCTCCATATCCTCTTGGGGAAATCAGATGTCAGGAGATCAGATCACAAATCTTCCACATCACATATAACCCATCCCTGTGTGTGTGTGTGTGGAATAATTATATAAGCTCCACACACAAAACAGGTAATTGCAGATCCATTTTTAGAGGCTGAGAATTTAAAGTTGGGACTCCTATGCATGCTTACTAGAAAGTTCCACTTAAATCAATGGAAATAATAACCAGTAGGGCACCCCTGGGAGTAAACAGGCATAGGTGTGCCCTGCAAAGAGATGTGGCAGCCCGGAGGGGAGGCGGAAGAGAAACAATTGGGGGGAAACCAGTTGGGGGGGGACTGAAGGGGGGGTGAAGCAGAAGAAAACCAGGCCTTCACATTTCTAGCCTGGCGTGACATTCAAAACGCAGACTGAGAAACATGGTTGATCTAGAATTAGCTCTTTATCAATGTCAAGGTACAAAAATTAAATAGATAAGCTACTTACATTTGGTATAAACAGGAGCGTAGGGTCCAAAATATCTACCCAATGAAGAAACCTTTGAAAAAAGGTCTAAAGAAAGAGATATGCTTTTTGAGTATTCAGGTATTTTGTGAAGCCGTTATTCCTAAACCAAGCATAAAGGTAAAGGTAAAGGTACCCCTGCCCGTACGGGCCAGTCTTGACAGACTCTAGGGTTGTGCGCTCATCTCACTCTATAGGCCGGGAGCCAGCGCTGTCCGCAGACACTTCCGGGTCACGTGGCCAGCGTGACAAAGCTGCATCTGGCGAGCCAGCGCAGCACACGGAACGCCGTTTACCTTCCCGCTAGTAAGCGGTCCCTATTTATCTACTTGCACTTAGGGGTGCTTTCGAACTGCTAGGTGGGCAGGCGCTGGGATCGAACGACGGGAGCGCACCCCGCCGCGGGGATTCAAACCGCCGACCATGCGATCGGCAAGTCCTAGGCGCTGAGGTTTTACCCACAGCGCCACCCGCGTCCTTAGCATAGGTAGTCAATAATCTGTGCCCGATATCTAATTCTATTCGCATCTTAAACACTTCTTTTATTTCAACTTCCTAAACTGCCCTCTGTCTCTTTCTTGTGCTAAAGCAACACGAAAATAAAAATATTCTTTAAAAAAATTAAAAATTGTCCAGGAGCACCTTAGGGAGCAACTAAGTTTGTTCTGGGTATAGGCTTTTGTGTGCACTGTTGGCCACACACTTAACTGGTAAAAAACTGCACTGAACATGGTTGGGGAGGAATACATGGGACTGTGTCGCACAAAGCACCATTCACAACTATTAGTACACACTGGAGTTTTGTTTTTTAAATGTGCACCCAAATAAAAATCCATGTCCACCAAGCCAGGAATCCAAGCTGTGAATTAACATGCTTGCCCCAAATCAACCTGTGTGGCAAGCTAATATCCAAATGTATGGCCCTGCTTGGAGGATCCCACGTTGGTGGCCTAACGTTTGGAGAGCACTCACAGGGTGGATTATATTACAGCTGCACAGAGTGGCTATTTCCAGTTGCACAGAGAATCTATCTGTTTCTATCTCCTTGGCAGCTAAGTGAACCGGTCAATACATTTTAAGATGTTACAACAGATTTTCCAACAGCCCCAACATGTGGAGTGTTAAATGCACTTGAGAATATTCACATTCAACAAACCACTAACCTAGTTTCTGCTTTCTGGAGTATCCAAGATCAGGTAGCAGCAGGACACAGCGAGTACTGTACCACAACCTAATATATCCATTTATCAGGAGCAAGCCCCATTAAAATCAACAGGACATACTTTTGAGTGGGCATGTATTGGACTGCACTTTTGGAAGCAGTTTAAGGTATTTCTTTGGGAGCTGGGTTCGAGGGATAATTGTTACGAATGAGACTGTAGTACACACACGCTTTGTCAATTTACAGTGGGCAGCCTTTCACTGCAATTCATACCGGGCCCCAGAAATTCGGGTTTCACAATCTCCTGCACGCAATGGGAGCAAGGCTCTCTCTGAAAGATGCAAGGCTCCCCTCTGAATAGACGTGCGTGGTTGAGACATGCATAGGATCGCATGAGGGAGAAGTGTCGGCAGATCAATGCAAAGGGAGGAGCGATGGGCGATCGCCGCCGCCCGCTTGCAAACGCCATTCAGTGCTCCCTTGCCCTTTGCACAGTCCTCCCTCCTTCCACTGAAGCAAAGGAAGGGCGCCCTCCTCCCTTCCACCACATGCTTCCCTCCGACCTTCTACTCGCCGCGATCTGCAGCAACCCCCCGCCGCCGCCCCATAACCCCTGCGCTTCAAAGTCATACTTGGCCCTCGCTTCTCCAGAACTGCCAGTTCAAATCCATGAGGCTCAGCGCGCAACGCCGGAAAGCGTCTGCTCCGGAAAAGCTTCGGCGGCGCACGAGCGGAGCCCACTTCCCTTCTCTGCTCAGGCCCAGCCTCTCGCGCGAAGCGTATTCTGCGCGGCTGGATCGAGAGGCTTCTGCCTTTACCTATGAATGGCTATGGGGGATAGTTTTTGCTTTGCCGGTCAAAGGCGCAGTGAACTGCGGCACTGCTCTTGCGCATTTGAGAAACAAAACAAAAACGCAATCCCTTTATCGATCTCCAAAGAGGAGCGCGGTTTTATGCTGCTTACTTTGGAGTAAGTTTCGAGTAAGCATGCCTAGGATCCGGCTGCCGCACCTCCCCCGGGAAAGGGACCCGTGGTTTTAGCAATTGCAAGACAGTCAGAAATTGGACGGGGAAAGCTTTTCCCGATGTGAAGTTTTCGGGGTGGAGAGGGCAGCAGCTCACGAAGCTCTGCCAGGCAAAGCGGCTGCCTCTCCACGTAGCGCACCTTAATTCCCCCCTGGACTGTTTAAAATAAATAGGGGCTTTCTACTTAAGTGTAGAACTAGGGAATACGAAAATGAACGACACCCCCTCATTCATTTATGCAGATTCAATTTTCCCCTTTAACCTATGTATTTGAAAGGGAGACACCACCCCTTTATTTACCACTCGCGATGTCTAGGCTTGCCAGGTCTAGATGCTGAGAGGGCTCCTCCTGTACCCTTATTATGACATTTGTTTCCCACCTCTTTCCTGAAGCTCAAACGGGCATACATTTATTTATTTGTTACAGCAATTTGTATTCCACTTACGCCCATTTAAAAATTCAGCCATAAGAAGGCAGGGGACAGCAACCATGCCATGTGTCATGGCTGCTCCATCAACAATAAAAGGTAAAGGTACCCCTGCCCGTACGGGCCAGTCTTGACAGACTCTAGGGTTGTGCGCCCATCTCACTCAAGAGGCCGGGGGCCAGCGCTGTCCGGAGACACTTCCGGGTCACGTGGCCAGCGTGACAAGCTGCATCTGGCGAGCCAGCACAGCACACAGAACGCTGTTTACCTTCCCGCTATAAAGCGGTACCTATTTATCTACTTGCACCCGGGGGTGCTTTCGAACTGCTAGGTTGGCAGGCGCTGGGACCGAACAACGGGAGCGCACCCCGCCGCGGGGATTCGAACCGCCGACCATGCGATTGGCAAGTCCTAGGCACTGAGGTTTTACCCACAGCGCCACCCACGTCCCATCAACAATATGGACTGGCAAAAGCACAGAGGAATGCACTAAGTGGCCAGTTCTTTTACACTGCCAGCCCACTGCAAACAGAATAAGGCCGATTCAAATATGCTTAACGCATCAGCGTTCAGCTCACAAAGGCATTGAGAGTTGTACGGTAAGCACCGTAATTCAGTGGATGAGCAATTGTTTTGCCTACAGAAGGTCCCAAGTTTATTCCCCGGATATGTTCAGACAGTTGCGAATGTCCCATCTGAAACCCTGAAGAACCACTGTCAGTGTAGGCACTACGTTATATATGCTTTATATGAAATCTTTATTTATGGTTACTGTTTCACAGATGAAAGTCACCACTGGATGTTGTCTTCATCTAGTGCTGGAATTTCGTTTTCACTCAAGCAGCAACATTGAGTAAGCCATTGCAACACTATTTCCCTCCCCCACCCCAAAATCTGTTTCAACTGCGGTTTAGCCCAGTGCAGCCTTCTCTTGAGAGCCCAGAGGCACCCTTTCCTACCCAAAACTGAACAATCCTACAGTAACTGAATGTGTGCTCATTATAAACTTTCCTATGCAGCCCAGCTGTATGAGTGTGTATTCACAAGTCCCACTGTGTTAAATTTAATTATTAATTTAAGTAATTGTGCATAACTTTGTGCATCAGCCAGAACAAATTCTCTGAGGACTGCCTGCTATTGCCGCTGCGATGACATGATTAGGGGTGAATGAGTATTTTCTTGGAAGAACATATGGCCAAAGGCTTACCTAGCCCAGCATCCTGCTTCCCAGAGTGGTCAGCCGAACGGGAATCCCATTGGTAGGACATGAAGACAATAGCCTTCCTCTGCTATTCCCTAACGACTGGTATTCAGAGGGGTGCTGTCTCTTATTTGAGAGGTGTAGCATATAGCCATCATGACATGTCTCCAAAAGATGTGGTGGTTGCCACAAACTTGGTTTCAAAAAGGGGAAAGAGTTTCCTTCATAAATTGCCATCTTGTTTCCAGAAGATGAGAGTCATAGTTCGAACCTCTATAGTTCTGTTTTTCGGAAGTGTCTTTAATTCATAGCTGCATATTTTGATACAGATGTTCAATATCATTCTAGAAACAAGCTGTAGTAATTCACAGACCCATTAATGGATCGACCCCATAATTACAAACATACCATGAAATACATGTGAAAGTGGCAACAGACAACGTCAGCTATTCAACAATTTCATAGAAGGCATGAGTCTGTTGAGCAACACCACCAACAAAGATTTTTGGTTCACAGCTTCACCTTGGGTTTATTTGTAAAAGAAAAGCATTAATCCTTCACTTTATTTCATCCTATAGGTGTCCCATATTGCAGGAATCTTAAAGTTTAATTACTTCAATTTTCAGTTCACCATTCACATGTTGTGTTGGCTTTCCTTGCAGAGGTGCAGGAGTTAAGCATTGCATTTATCTGTGCACAAAACCCCATTGCAGAACAAGTTTAATCCTAAATCTGTGAATATACATCTGTAATACATCCCACCTATGGCCAAAAGAAAAGCATGGGCTGTTTAGGTGGAAAAGGCAGAACCTACTGGGGTGGGGGTTGTTTTGTTTTAAAAATCTAACCAGCTCCTTAAAGAAGGGGAAGCCTGCAGTTTACCTTGTAAGCAATTCAAAAGCATGGATATATCCCAGATTTAATATGGGTAGGTAGGCATTATTTTGTTTCTGAGTATGCTGCATGTAAGAAACACCATGAGTGTTGCTTAAATCCACTTGGGGACAAAGTCACTCATCCCTATAGTAAACACCTTGCAAAATATAACAACTTTTCCATCACAACAGATATTAAAATAATTTTGAAGTTTTATTACAATGATAGTTGCTCTTTCTGGAAGTCAGCTTTGTTTGGAGGAAATGTAGTCTACTTCTACCTCATTATTACTCATGATCTTATTTATTTACTTTCTCAAAATACTCCTTTGATTCTTCTGGATTTGGCTTGATCTGCAAAGCAAAAGCATTAAAACAGAAGTTCAGTACCAAATTATATTCATTCCAAACAGGAGTTAAATAAACAATGCCCTCTATGGTGTTAGCACTAACAAAAAATGTTTAAAAGAACAGTTGGAAGAAATATTAAATCCTTGTCTTCCTTATTCATGCAAACCAAGCACACATCCAGACAAAAAAATAGAAAATGAAACATTTAACATTATTTAATGACACTGAAGTTAAATGATATTTTATGGGGAAAGTGTGAATATGGTAGGAGGAGAACCAACTCCTACATTCAAAACATAAGCTCTTTTACAAGCAACTATGCTTAGCTAGGTTCCACTAATACCAGATGGAACTTGCATTTGTGGAAAGATTGTTAAGATGAGTTGTCAGCTAGCTTTGCATTCCCAGTCAACATCCTTTCATCTTACATGGTTTACAATTTTCTATGTGAGCTGGTTGCTCAGACCCGTTCTTTGTGTGTTCTCTAGCCACAGATGATAAATGGAAAGGCTCTATGGGAGTGTTTGATCATGCATCAAGTAGGCTGAATGGCTGGTGTGTATCAAAGCACTAGCAGTTGTGAATTTGCAGGGGTTCACTGGATGATGAGTCTTATAATTTATTTGAAAAGATGAATACCTTCTTGTAATGTTCTGGCAGTGCAAGGGTAAACCCTGATTTGAAAGCCTGTTGATATGTGTACATAGGATGCAATGTCCTGCTTGAACACACCCCACCCCAACAAATAACTCAATTGAGTGCTAGCACACTGAAGCTGCTGTGACACAAGTGCATGATACAAAAGCCATTGCACCAAAGTAGCATGACAGATTGTTATACCAGCAGAAAACATTTCTTTCTAATTCTGTCTGGTTAACAGGGTAGCAACTTACCTTAATAAAATGCTCAGATAGAAAAATGCAGTATTTTAGAACAAGATTTCAGAAGAGTCTAGATTAGCCCCAAAGCACATATATGTCTTAATTTAGTTAACATTAATCAGTTAATCTCTTTTCAATTTCAGTAAGCTCAGATATGAACCCCTCCCGTATAGATGATAGGAGGCTTGCGAACAATTACATTAATGTTGGTGAATGTTAAGTTTGCCAACGCACCGTGGGGGAATGTGGAGTCCAATCTGCTGGACAGACTTCTCCATGCGTTTCTACAAACTGGAACGCCTTCACCAAGCGAAGTGTTTCCTCTACACTTCGACCAACAGGGAGGTCATTGATGCTCAAGTGCTTGATAATTCCATTAGGATCAATTAAAAAAAGACCCCTTCGAAGAAATAAAGCAGAATTTATAGTTTAGCACTCGCTGTAGTTGTTTTTCAGTTTGAAATGCATACCGGCTGCACAAACAGATATTCCCCATTGCATTGGAGAGCAACTATAATGGTAATGGAACTTAGTATTTCATAGTTTTGTAGAACTTCAATACATTTGAGGTATTCTAGTGTTCCCTGTATTTCATGGTGTTGGCTGCACTTTAAAGTATTTTACAGCTCAGCAACAGGATGCCAACCTATACACCAGTGCGGAGCCAGTGTGGTGTGGTGGTTAAGAGCAGTAGTCTCGTAATCTGGGGAACCGGGTTCGCATCTCTGCTCCTCCACATGCAGCTGCTGGGTGACCTTGGGCCAGTCACACTTCTTTGAAGTCTCTCAGCCCCACTCACCTCAGAGTGTTTGTTGTGGGGGAGGAAGGGAAAGGAGATTGTTAGCCGCTTTGAGACTCCTTAGGGTAGTGATAAGGCGGGATATCAAATCCAAACTCTTCTTCTTCTACTACCAGAGCTTTCCAAATTGTGTGTCAGCGGCAGTGTGTAGGTGTGTCGCACGAATGCTCCCCGTGCTCCCTCTGGAGCTGGAAATGGTTAGTTTAAGTTCCGGTTTGCTAATAAAACTGAATTAAAGGTAAAGGGACCCCTGACCATTAGGTCCAGTCGTTGCCGATTCTGGGGTTGTGGCGCTCATCTCGCTTTATTGGCCTAGGGTGCCGGCGTACAGCTTCCGGGTCATGTGGCCAGCATGACAAAGCTGCTTCTGGCGAACCAGAGCAGCACATGGAAACGCCGTTTACCTTCCCACCGGAGCGGTACCTATTTATCTACTTGCACTTTGACGTGCTTTCGAACTGCTAGGTTGGCAGGAGCAGGGACCGAGTAACAGGAGCTCACCCCGTCGCAGGGATTCGAACCGCCGACCTTCTGATCGGCAAATCCTAGGCTCTGTGGTTTAACCCATAGCGCCACCAGCGTCCCTCTGAATTACTGTGTTGCAAAATGATGCATGCCCAAAAACTGTGTCACCAACATGAGAGGTTTGGAAAGCTCTGCTGTACACTTTGGCAACACAAGGCACAGTAGAAAGCAGATATCTGAAAAAGGCTTTCAACTGACTGACATTAGCAGAGGGATTGTTCTGGGTTCCAACTCTCACCACGTATGCATTATACCAAGAATGTATCTTGTCTCCGATACCAAATACAAACCAAGCCTTGCACAACCTCTAGCAAGGATTCCACCAAAACATTTAAAAAGTGGACTCTCTAACTCTCGTCTCTCTCTCTCTCTAGCACTCACAGAGCTGAAACACATGATTAACAGACTTGCTTTGATTGGTCTCTACCAGCAAAGAAAGAGGGATGTTTGAATACTCCCTATTAAGAATGGGTGGTATTGACGCAAATAAATGTGTGAGCAGAGCAAGTTCTACTTGTACAACAGGACTACTCCCCTTCCCCTTGGCCCCATGCATACTCTGCAGCATACCCAAATTATCTTGGGAACCCCCCACAACAGTTTAAGGGGGCACATGGAGGAGGAGGAAGTCCCACTGCTCATACAGAAATCATTCTCCTAATGCAATGACTCACTTAGTGCTATTTTGGACACAACCCATTTCCTGTGCACACAAGGTTCTACCATGTCAGGTAGGCGATCAGGCTAGATGCATCATGGAAAGTTTGCTAAAAGTATGCTTAGCCAGCATAGTTTATCTTTAAAGTATGTGGAGTTTATAGCTAGCAGACCATCCACTGCTCCTCTGAGCTTAAGCACATTTAGGCAACTCCTGTCACTAAAAAGGAAGCTTCAGCCTTAGTGCAGTCCAATTACAGAAACACTAAAGGTAACTAATAAATAAATCTCTCTCACCTTAATGCAAGACCAGGCCCTTCCAAAAGCACACCATAATCTCGAGAGATCTGTTTCGTTAAGTCTGACAGAAGTGGGATATTCATGTGCCCCAAGCCGCCATTCTAAGAAAGAGAAGAAGAGGGAGGGCATCAGTTTTCTTCAACTGGAGACTGTCCATATCAAAACCTTGCTTCAAAGCATTGATAGAGAACCTGTGGTCCAATAGCACCTGTGTGCCTACAACTCCCATCAGCCCCAGCTGGTACGGCCAACAGCAAGGAGTGATGGGATCTGCAGTCTAGCAACATCTGGAGTGCCACAGATTCCCTGTCCCTGGGTTAAAGAGACTCTGTGATGAGAAGCTTCAGACACATTAACTCCAAGACACATTTAGTCGTCTGGGGAGAGGGAATCAACCATGGGTGGCAGGTGGATTTTCATGAAATGATCTATTGTTGCTTGATGTAGGTTTAAAGGCAGAAAAGCAATAAGCATAATATGAATAAAGGTATATACCATTCATGAAAGAGGCTCCAAAGTAAAGTGGAGTGCCTTCACTAAATGCAAATTCATAAGGAGATTATCTGCCTACTGTTTATCTACCTACTGTTTTTATATACAGGGAATAAGTCCAATTAAAAGACTTAACAGTTGGTGTATGATTATTGAATCACAAAATAAATGGGCAATAATAAAAAGCCCCTTTCCCTCTTGTGTTTAGTGAATCAAATATACCAATGGAAGAATTAAATATTTCAATTATTTGCTTTTATATCTCAATAATGCAATAGTGCTGTTACTTATCATATGCAGACATGTAAGCCTTTCACACTGCATTCATAGTTATTAGTATTGATGGGTGCATCTACTGAATTTCACAACATTTCCAGAGCTACGAAGGTAAACAACATATCCTTGAAACAAGGCCGCCAAACTTCATTAAGTGTTCCCGGGTCCGTCTCTTGTTGACCTTGGGTGATCCACTAACACTTTACTTTTGCAAATACTTATGCATAAATTTCTTCACATGAATACACTGGCTTCAAGGCTGTGGGACACGTAAGCAAAGTGAGGCCATTTATAAATGCATGCAGCCGGTCCCGTCTGTGCTAAGGAAACGTTTTGCACAGTAACGCAGCGTCATACAGCATGAGGATAGACTTGTGCTCTGAAAACCTCTGGTTACAACTGTTATAAGGAAAAATGCAATCCTTGTAGAAGAGGGCTGTGCAAAAGGACTTTATTTCTGCTAGGGGAAAAATTCATAGACATTCACCCGCTTTAGGAAGACATGGGGGCGGGGGAATTCTCATAGTTCAAACCTATCCATTTATTCCAAGGAAAGAAAATATCAACATGGTAGAAGAATAGTAGTTATGTGTTTCAAGTGAGCAACATCGTTTTTAATAACATCAGGTCCAAACTGAACGACTCCTTCCTAAGGATTCTGAAATCAGGGAAGCAAACTGTCTCTGCAGCCTAACTATCCTGCAACTCTCCAGCTCCTCAAAAATTAGGGAGGAAAGCACCCTCCTACTGAAGTAAATGGCAAAGCTCATTGATTGGGATGTCTATGAATGGTCCCAAAGTTTTGTAACCATAGAATGATGGCTGGTTAAAAATGGAAACAAACTTGTGGACATGCATGAACCCAGGTCTTGTGTACAGAGCACCGAACTATAGCTGAACATTACATCTGAACCAGGTCTACCCTCAATCTTATTATTCCCCAGATGCATTTCAAAAAAATTTAAGAAAGCTAAAAAAGAAAAAGAAAATAACACACAAAAGCCAATATATTGCAGGTAGTGGACAGTGGTGCCTCACAAGATGAAATTAATTTGTTCTGCGAGTTTTTTCGTCTTGCAAATTTTTCGTCTTGCGAAGCACGGTCAAGTCACAACTGCACCTCTTCAAGCGGTTTTAAGAAAAAGGAAACAAACTTGCAAGACGTTTTCATCTTGTGAAGCAAGCCCATAGGGAAATTCGTCTTGCGAAGCAACTCAAAAAACGAAAAACTCTTTCGTCTTGCGAGTTTTTCGTCTTCCGAGGCATTCGTCTTGCGAGGTACCACTGTACAAGTTCATCAGATTCACTAGATATGTAAGCATGTAACCAGTCATTTTGTGAGGGCTCCCCCTAGAAGCTTCTTGCTTGCCTAGATGGGAGGAGCAAGGGGGGGGGTGTATGTAGAAAATAGCCTTCTGCACAAAGGTAAAAGTCACACCCATTGCACCACCCACTTTTACCTCTGGCCCTGTTCCCCACTGGCATGTGGCCTTCAGAAGGGAATTTGGCCCTCAACCTCAGGCAGAAGTTTTATCACCCCTGCTTTAAATGAAAAGCAGCAAAGCGTCCAGTCTGTACCTTCCGTGGTGTATTTATCCAGGCGAGGTGAGTAAAGTGAGAATCCACCGACACACCAACTACCTCGCAGTTCACCTGATGGAATTCGTTAGCTTTGTCGCTGAAGGCGACAATCTCTGTTGGGCACACGAACGTGCTAAGGGGAAGAAACACAGCAAGAACGTGAAGGGGGAATGAGCCAGCCCTGATTCAAGAATGCTCCTATTTCCCCCCCACTGCAAATTCAAACAGAGAAGAGGAAAAGGTATTTGCTCATCCCGGGCATAAAGCCTGCAGAAGGGGGGTAGGGAGTTTACAAGCCCTCAGGGTCACAGACTTTTAGTTCAAAGGAAAAAGCTCAGAGGAATACTGTCATTTTGCCATGAAACCATGTTGAGAAATTTAGCGTCAAGACTGGAGGTCTATTCCCTGTCAATAGGTTTAACAGATCCTTACTCAGACAACTTTATCTGGCATTCCTAAGGATCCCAAGTTGAGCTGTAGGCGGCACCATTCTTCCAAAGTTTGGTGGCATCATCATCATCATTAAGATGAGCCACAGAACGACTCCAATGAGGAGGAAGCTGGTGACTTACTGTATTTTTCACCCTATAGGGCACACCGGCCCATAGGGCGCACCTAGGGTTTTTTTTTGGGGGGGGGGAGATAAAGGGAAAAAAAATATTTCCCCCCCCCAGGCGTGGGGCCGGGGAAGCCTGAGTTTCCCCCGACCCCAGCCCCCAGAACAGGCTGCTATCTGCAAGCCTAGGGAGCCCGGCGGGAACTCCGCCAGTCTCCCTAGGCTTGCGGAGAGCTACCCGAAGCCCGGGGTGCGCTCCGCTGCACTCCCTGGGTTTCGGGCTGCAGGCTGCTGTCCGCAAGCCTTGGGAGCCCGGCAGGAAGTCACACCGGGCTCCCAAGGCTTGCGGATAGCTTCCTGAAGCCTGGAGAGCGAGAGGGGTCGGTGCGCACCAACCCCTCTCGCTCTCCAGGCTTCAGCGAAAGCCTGCATTCACCCCATAGGATGCACACACATTTCCCCTTCATTTTTGGAGGGGAAAAAGTGTGTCCTGTAGGGCGAAAAATACGGTACATCTAACAAGATCGTATGGCAAGTATGCATGCTGGCAGTAATTTGCTAGTCAGAGGCATGCTTTTCTCAGTTTTATCCACCAACAATAAGTAACATTCCTGCCCTCTAGCCACTAGAAGTACTGATTGCATGTTTGCCTGAAATGCTCAGATGGTGGACATTAATGTTCTTCTATTTTATGCAGAAGCATAGGATCCTCCAAAAGTTTAATTTCCCTTCGTTACAATCCACCATACGTGGATGTTTCTGTCTGTTCCATTCTCTGTTGTGAAAGCTACAGCAAAAACGTTTCTATACAAAGAATTTTTTTTTTTAATGTAAATACATTAGTCTTCAATGTGAACCCCACCCCACCCCCAAGCAACACACCCACTCCCTGCCTTCAACAGGCATTGGTAAGACAGCTTCTAGTTCACTTCTTATCATTCACACCTTACATAAAAGGCTCAGGCTATCCTGCACAAAGATAGGCAGGATTCAAACGAGAACAAGTTAACTGTTTTGCAGATAAAGGGACCCGCTAGTTAAAGGAGTATAGGCAAAGTCTGTATAAAAGAGATAGAAGCATTACTTACAAGTCCAAAGGGTAGAAGAAAAGAACCAGATATTTTCCTTTAAAGTCATCTAAACTCAGCTCTTTGAAATCCCCATTAACCACAGCTGTACCCTTGAAATAGGGAGCATGCTGGGTGACAGCAGGAACAAACCTTGAAGAACCTAGGAGAAGTTAGATAAAGCATGTAATAGAGGCATTATAGAAGAAACAAGTGTAACCTGCAGGGAACTGTAGTACTCCACACTGTTTGGGGGGCCAGCCAGTCACAGATTCTTCCAAGACATACCATTCCACCGCTAAGTATCTTGGTATTCATTGGTCTATTTTCCTGCCCTCCACCTTATAGAGATTTTGCCTTCCTTCTTCCACCACCTCCACCCCCCAAAAAAACTTCTGTAAACCTTGGGGATCCCTGAAACCTGCTGATACTCTCTCTCTCTCATATGTGGATGCCATTTTGAACCCATAAGGATCCAAACTCAGAAAATGGGATTATTATTAACATATGAGAAGCCTATTTCTTGGTGTCAGTTTTTATCTCAACACTATTTCAAAACCAAGCCTTTACAGACAGCCTGGAATGTTTATGCTCTGTAATCAGGCCGTGGAAGGAGAGAATTTGGTAAAGAATTCAGTATTGTAGGGTGTGGGTTTAACTCAACTTATTTCCGGGTTTCTGTCGCCGGTAAACTGCTCTCTATCTTACGCGCTTTGCCTTTTGGGATTATTTTGAGGATACCTATTAAGGATTTGTCCGTTCAAGCTCCTAGAACTGCAACTCCCTTCCTCACACACACAGTTCTGAAGTCCAGAAGTAAGCAGTCTAAAGTGTGTGCATGTGGGGGGGGGGAGAGACATGCACACTAACGCACGTTCCTGAACATCAAGGCACATGTATGTTATTTTCACATATTACAGCTGGCAAAACTCCTACTGAGCTGCCAGTAACGCATTCTCGATGATGGTGTTTCTTCAGCAACAAAATCTCCTTTAAGCTACTCCGATTTTAAATCACTGCAGAACCAACTGGACAGTAGGCCAAATAAATAACATCACACGCAGAGCAGGCGACGAAGGATCTTCGGCATTATCTTGGGAAGGAGAGCATTCAGTGGAGCGTTAATACAAACAAGCTCCTACGTGCATTTACTTCTGAGTAGGAGAGTGCAAGATCGCGCTGTCACCCCCACCACAGCGCCCTCCAACCGGCCGCACACTTACTAGTGCTGAAATGCCGCCGAGGAAAAGCGGGCGCCGCACCGTCCGCGCACTTCCGCCCTCCTGCAGCCGCGGCGGCTGTAAGGCACCTTCCGGCAGCGGCGCACGCCCTCCAGGGGAAGACCTGGAAACAGACGGCGGGGAAACGTTACGGGCAAAGGTGGCGTCCAGGAGCCTCACTGGACCCAGATCTAGGGGTTGCACGAGATGCGCCCTCAAAAAAAAAAGTTGTGAGCCTAAGCAGAGCTCCTGCAACTGGCAAATACCCACCCGCGCCCCCAAATTCCCCAACACGCATTGGCAGGCTGCAGAGTTGGAGAGAGAAGCACAGAAGTGCCCCAAACACTTCTGGGGGCAGAAGGGGAAAGGGGGCTTCCGATCTGGAAAAGGCAGGGAACCTCTGGCTTGACTCTGGTTAAGTAAAAAAGTGTCACGGCGCAATAATAATAAGCATGATCCGTCCGCGCCAGCCTTCGAGGTGGAGCGAGTTGCCAGCGAACCCATTTTTAGAGGGCAAGTTCGGGTCCCCAGGGCAGAATCGGTTTAGCCTTGGGAACGGGGCCGGTGGAACTAGTCAGTGGTGCTGATCTTTCCCTCGTGCAGACTGCACTACGCCTGCAAAAGTCAATATAGTCTATCTAGAGGGAGGGGAGCAGGCCTTGGAAACGGGAAAATGCGGTTCCGGAGGCGCAACGCGCGCGCAACGAAGGCTCCGCAGGCCTCCCCTAGCGCCCGGGATCATGGCTTCGCCGGGACTTGCGGAACTGCGACGGAGCAAAGCGGGACTCGCACTTACCGAGGGCCTCAGTAACCTTCCTAGCGCCCCCGTGACAGCAGCCATTTTCAGCTCCAGAGAGGGACTGGCCGCGGGAGGCGGAACCGGCCTCACGCTCCGCACATGGAGCGCCAGGGGTGGGGCTACGAAACCTGTCGCCCGGGGCCGCGGCTTTTTGATAGGCGCAGCAGCGGGAGGGGCGAGCCTAACGGCGCGAATGGGGCGCCCAAATCGCGAAGGGCCCCGCAAGAACTTGAAGCTGAGCCCCGTTGCCCAGAGAAAGAACCAGGCTTGCAGCGCGACGCACCTACCGTGGGTGCGTTTCAGGCAGACTTGAAACTGCTTCATTTTGCACGCAATCCTGTGCATACTTCACCCCATCCCTTCCCCTTTTAAATGTTTATTTATATACATAGATATACATTTTCCATTCATCATCATATCGTTTTTTTATATAGACTTCCCGACTTATCTTTCATTGACATCCTGTTTCATAGTCTTTGGTTTCCTACATCTCCTTATATTTCTTGATTCTTTTTTCATTCTTTCTGATCCCTTATCTTGTCTACTGCTGATCATAGGCTTATCCCAACTGCTAGTTAACCTTGATTCCACCCTTTAAAAAGTATTCTTCAAGATACTCCCACTCACTTCTTGTTCCGTCCTCCCATCATAATTTCTTATTTTGGCCACCAAACTTGCTAACTCAGCAAACTCTTTCTGCAACCATTGATCCTTTGTCAGAACAATCTTTTCTTTCCAGTTCTTTGCCTAAGTTATTCTTGTGGCCACTGTTGCATATAAAAATAAATCCCTTACTTTCCTTGGTATATCTTTCCCTATTATTGCCAGCAAGAAGGCTTCGCAGTCTTTTCGGGAAGGTGAATTAAGCATCTTTTTAAGTTCCTCATGTACCATTTCCCAAGTATTATTTTTGCATGCTTGCATAGCCACCACATATGGTATAGAGAACCTTCTTTTTCTGAACATTTCCAACAAACATTGAATCCTCTCATACGTTCTGCTGAGTTTACTTGGCATCAGATCCCATCTATAAACCATTTTTTGGATATTCTCTTGAATTGCATAGCAAGCCAAAATTTCCATCGTCTTCCATTTTTCCCATGCCAAGAGTTCGATGTTCTAGACCCGGCCTCCATGTGGTCTTCCTTGCTCCATTCTGAAAAGCTTCTTGTCAAGCTAACCACCCCCACACTACTATTCCTCAGTTGGAAGAGGGCCTCAAGGAGGATGATTTCAGATTCCAGAAGGGAGGTCAGCCATCCCATGAGATCCTGAAAGAGATCAAAGGACAGAGGAGAAATGTCAGTTCCCTGTGGACATTACAAGGGTTGCTCCAGGCCTAGGGTTTGATTTCAGTAGGAATTAGGAATTCCATGCCAAACGCCTGCACGATCCCCCTCTCAGCCTCCCACCCAATGTCCCCCAAATCCCACAATTCTCACCACAATTGCCTCTGAAACCAGATTTTTCATGCAGTCCCTTGTCTGCTGCCTCTGAGCAGGTGCCCAGAACTCAGACCAGGAACATCTGCTCCCTGTCCAGTTGCTGAAATGGCAAAAGTCAGGCTGCCAGTTAAGGATAGGAGGGCCACTCTGTATCTGAGACTGTAAGAACTGGGAGCAAACATTGCAAGGGGGGGGGGAGATCTGAGGGATTTAGCACCTGCTATTCCATTTTCTCATATACTAACCCCAGGTAATGGGAAGACCTGCCTCCATGGCGAAAGTGCAATGAGAGAAGCCAAGGAGGACATGGGGAACAGGCCTGTTAATCTCTTAGTACTTTCCACAAACGGGTATGACAACATTCTTCCTTATTTCCTTGCTTCTGCTTTTATTGAAATCCTATAACGAGGTGGGGCACCTCAAGCCTGGAGGCAAATTGCAGCTCCCCAGGCCTCGCTGGCTAGCTCCTGGGACACTCTCCAGGTCATACGCCTTGTAGGCCACACCTATCGCGCTCGCCCCCGTCCTCTCACTCCTTGACTGCTTTCGCCTGCCTGGAATGTGTTCTTCACCTGGGATCATGTTTCTTGCTTGCCTGGATGGAAGTGTGTGTGCATTTGCAAACTGGTGACTTCTGTGCAGCTAGAATATACGCTTGTTTAGAGAGGAAAGAGTCACATCCATTGCTCTTCCCACTCCTCCCTCTGGTCCCAGGCGCCACTAGCATCTAGTCTCCAGAATATGGTTCACAAGAGAATGTGGCTTTCCAGATTAAAATCACGCCTCCACACCCATGTCCTATCAGCTGTTTCATCAGACCCCACAAATTTATGGAGAATGAGGCTACTGAGAGTGGCGAATTGGCATGTAGCTCTGTGTTAGCCTCTAAATGATGCCAGTTCTGGGGATTCACAACAAGAAAACGGCTCCTGGGTTCATGTCCTGTTATAGGCTTCCTCACACATCCTTCCAGATACCTGGTTGGCCATGGGGTGTGTGTGGCTTCCAGCCCTGTCATTTGATGCATTACCTGTACAGTTTGCTGGATTGTATGACATCATAACAGCTACGAAAGAAGCAGCCAAGATGATCTAAGGCTTGGAGAATAGATAGATAGGGAGTTCCCCCTCCATCTACTATTACATCTTTGATGGGGATTTCTTCACATAATGTTGAATTGGTTTATGAAATTGGCAGGAATATTTATAGGGATAGCGTTGCTTATGCTCAAAAGAGGTTTGAGAACAGCAAATAATTAGCTTTGTTCACTTCCCAATGTCAACTGGGAAATTTGCCAAACACACAAAAGATGCATCCACCACTTATTATATCATAAATTTATAGACTCCTTAGTATAAAAAAACCCTCAAAGCATTTTACAAATATTCTACTCTGCTCCTCCACCCTTCCTCTTCCCCCTGGATCTGGTTAGAGGTTGAAATTAAACTTTGGAACATATAAGGGGCAGCTAGGATCTCTATTTTGGCAGCCAGTGGCAATCCTACTCCCCTCCCCCACTCCAAATTGCATTTCTGGAAACAATTTGAAGGGTTGTGTTTAATAAAAAAATACTAGTGGAATCATTTGGCAGTGGCTGCTTTAAATTAAATAATGACTTCACGAGAGATTTTGGAAACGGGCATTGTGGATGTAGCACTAACATGCAAGCCTCACAGTTTAACAACTATAAAATGCTACGCTTCAGAGCCTGTGGAATGTTTTGAAATAAGAGGCACTGCCCTATTGCTAGGTGACTGCAGATTCATTCCATACACGGGGAGAGTGTGTAAGAATTCTATGATACGCAGGCTGCCTGCCAGATGTTTTGAATGAGGTCAGCGTACTCCTAACCCGCTGTTATGACACATCATCGAATGTTGAGACAATATGCCAATTTGTAGGGTCATAACCTCATTGTAGCCCTCACAATTAACTGAAGGCAGGCAAATTGTTAATCATTTGGAGGGAGACACTGAAAAGGCATAATGAGCTGGTGGCCAGCAGCTATGCTTACAGATTTTATACTACAGAGAGGAAAACCTGGTTCTCCAGCCATTTGAATGAATATGATGTTGATCAATTTGCATCGACTCAAACTGCTAAGCATGCTTCCACTTTTGCGGTGTCATTTGTTTGCAATTTCTGGTACATCACGGCGAGCAGTAATAAATCTTGAGATGCTGTGGATGCGATCATTTCACCTCTGGTGGCATTAATTAAGATTCAGCGTGGAAAATATTTGCAGACAAATATAAATGTACCCAATTTAGTAAATTAAAAGGCCTTCTGCACCACATTTTTCAAATAGCACGTATTCTCTGAAGCTGGGGCACTCAAACTTGATTTAAAAATAATAATAAAAACAAGAGCAGCTGCGTTCCAACAAGAGCTCTGAACTACACAGATGTGTTTGGACGACCCCAAGCAGCCAAAAAGGGCTGTGGACCGTCGACTCCCATAATTACATGGATGCAACAGTTAAATATGCAAAGAGAAATGGAGAACAAGTTATTGGAAGGCTACTCCCATGAATAATCCTTATAGAAAGTATTTGTTTCTCATTGGAAATTTTGTCTTGGGAAAAAAACAACCCAAGATTTTTCGCCTTCTCCTGTAGAGACAGGAGACAGTCTGTTACTGCAGTATTCACAGCTGCAGACCTGCAAGCCCACTCAGTTGGTGACTCATCCGCTGCAACAGCTCATAACACAGCCCTTCATTTACCAGTCTTCTTTTCTTATTACAGTGAGGCCAAATTTCAGCTTTTGTACTGAGGGGGGAATAAATGTGTTAGCGTTTCACTCCCAGGCCCCTGAAAGATGGCTGCTCGACCATTTTCCCCCTCTGACAGCCTGTGTTTATCAAAAGGTGTTTTATGAAGTGTCCCTGCTTAGCTGTGAATGAAAAATACCTTCCTTCTTAAAAGAGACTGAAGCAAAATTTAAAGGTTTACTTGGGACTCCCCCCCCCTTTATACCTTTATAATTCTAGGCTTAGAGATTTTCCTTAGCCAGTTCCAAACGAAAACTACACTGGGTTATGTGTCTTTTAAAAAAATATTTCTTCTCCAGAGGAGAAAAAGTACATGGGAGACTAAGCTATGGAAAACCCTCTCACCATGAATTAAGCAGAGTATAAGTTGCAGGGCTGGGTCAACCCAGTAGGGCAAATAGGATCAGGCTGCAACGTTTTGCATGCTTAATTGGGAGTAGGTTACGCCAATCTGAGTTTAGTTACGTGTAAGATCATGCGCAGCAAAGACCTATCACAAATTTTATTTAAACGTCTACCTTGCCTTAGCCAAAGCACCCTGGGTAGGTAATAAGTCTGCAACTGCTAGGAGGAAACAGCAAGGTTTTCTTTAAAAGAAGCTGTTGACCCAGTTATCATTCAGTAAAAGCCAGTAACATTTAGTACATCACTGTAAATCCGCGTCCCTCTCCCAGTTCAACCTTGTCAACACCCCCCCACGAAGAGCAATTATTTGGTCAACAGCACTTTCAATACCTAGCCTTTGTCAAGCATGGGGCAGTGAGGGGTAGGGGAGAGAAATTCTATACTTGTGGGACAGCCGCCTAGAATGCAGGTCTGCAAACTCTGGCTCTCGTGAACTGGCAAACAGATGGTAATGCTAAGAGAGCAGGTCCTCCAGCCCAGCAGCCATGACTGGCCAACGTTCCAAGATATGAAGCACGTGAATCTGCCTTAACCTGAGCCAGACCACTGGCCCATCAAGCCCAACCCTGTTCTTCAGTGTCTTCCCCATCTTGCCACCTGAGATCCTTTCTGCCAGAAATGCTGTGGCTGAATGTGTGTTCTGCTACAAACCATGTGCACAAAGCCGTACCTCCTCCCAGTGCAGAACCTGAAACAGTTATCGGATCCAAGTAAACATTTTATTTCAGATCATTCATGCAAATATTGAAATTGAATATTTAAATATTTGGCTACGGAGGCATTCATCTGCATGCACGATCAGTGTTAGTGCTTCTGTTATTGAGGAAGAGCTCATTTGGGAAGAGCCAACGTCATCAATGAGTTACTTTGCCGCCATCCACAAGGAGGCTTCATCAAAGCATTTGTCGTTGCCTCCGCTTCCTCTGGAATATTAGATTGTAAGGGCATTGGGGCAGGGGACTGTCCTCTGGTAGCCTGTAAGCTGCTGTGCATACTGATACCGCTATATTAAAAATAATGAAAAACAACTTATTATTTAATCAGAACAGTTACTCTGTGCCACAGTAGAAATGGGAAATCAGGTGGAAGCAACCAGCATAGCCTGTTCAGAAGTGGTCTTTTAGAGGGCACAGTGGGCAGAAAGGGGCACAAAACTCCCTTTGCATGAACATCCTTGTGCGAGTACAGCATTGGATATTTCCAAGTAAGTATGTGCAGGATCAAGTTCCATAGATTTCTGAGCTATTGTACCCCAGGCTTAACTGTGATATGCAAATCACACTCTCAAGTGGCTATTATGTAGCTCCTATTATTTCCATTTCATTTTGAAGGTTGTGGCCTCTTTCCTGACGTTGTCAGGCACACAAAACTCTCTCTTCCTTCTGCAAGACAGATGAAATTCAGCTGATGCGCTATTTCCTGTTAGAGAGCAGCAGTAATGGGGAAATAAAAAATTCATATGAAACCAAATTTAAATCCACATTTAGATATGTATTTAATCTCAATGTATGCCACTCGTAAACGATTTTATCCCATAATAGGCACGCACAGACATATATGGTACTTTTTTGAGCCAGGAATACCGCAGAATTCAGATCAGTGCAGAATCTGAAGGCTCATTCTGTTCTGATCCATGCTTCAGCCCCAGAGGTGCAAATTGGGTCCGTTCACTTAAAAATGCAAATCCATCAAAAATTCTCTTCCATCCCCATCTGCCTTGTGGGTGCTTTATGAGCACAACTGAAGAGGATTGTAAAATGCTCCACAAACATAAAAATGCTACACAAATACTTAGCAATTAACTCCACTGACTTTAATGGTTCAACAGATGACTACAATCCAAGCCTCAAAATGCAGTTTGTGGTGTCATGCCTGTGGTCTTCCATTAACGTAACGGAAAGCTAGTATTCTTCTGAAACCACACGAGCTACTGCTATGCAATTCCATGAGAGAAAAGGTCTAAAGGAGAGTGCTTTGGGAGCTGTGGTTAAAAATGCCAAGCCCAGATAATAACCAATAAGCCTCCTTGAGAGAAATACACTGTGTATCTTATAAAGAGATAAGGACTAGTATTCTCTGGATTACACCAGTGGTTTCAACATTGATGTATCATTAAAAATAGTGATCCCACAATGAGGGTGGATTCCTCCTCCCCTCTCTGTTTCTCTCTCTCTCTCTCTCTCTCTCTCACACACACACACACACACACACACACAGAGAGAGAGAGAGAGAGAGAGAAGTTGGCAAACCAAAAATGCTTGTTGGAAAAATACGTCAAAAAAAGACAGCACTCAATGCCTTTTGGTGGGCTGTAAAATGGGCATTTGGACTGTAAAATGGGCACTTGCTGTTGAACTGTTTGAGATTGGGCAGCTCTCTCATACCAAGTTACAGCATGCTGGTCCATAGACCACACTAGCTAAAACATCTACCTGATTTTAGCTGTTTATAAAGATGCATTTTTGCTATGTTTGTATACACTGAGGGCTCCATAGGGCCATGGAAAGGGACAGAACTTGTAAAATAAATAAGACAAAATGTGAAAAACTTGGGGAAAGTGATACCATTTGGGGTTAAGGCACAAGTGGCTAATCTGTGGTGCAGGCAACAGTTTTTTTGTAGCATATCTCTCCAAGAGCAGGCAGACCTGCCATAGTCAGGGCAGCACACCAGTCTCTCACCTCTGCTCCCTGACCGGAGCAAGAACCATACCAGGCAATAGGCTGCTGCATATTCTCCATCATTTGCACTTGAGTGGCACTGCCTGATGCTCATGCCTAGACTTGGAGGCCACTTGCCACAGAGGTTGGGCGCAGCCTGTCTTCTTCATCCCAAATATAAGAAAGCCACTAGGTGGCACCATGGCACAACTCAAGGTCTACCAGGGGGAATTGCTGTGGTCAATTAACTGGACTTCTAGCACAGCTGTTGCTGAAGGGATGTTATTAATCACCCCGGAGAAGAGACAGAAGTTCTGGATACGCTTGTCTCCAAACAGTAAGCATCTGAACTGCGTTTCTCATGAGATCTCATAATGGTCTCTCATGTCTTAAGGGCCTTACTGTAAACAAGTCTTAAATTTCTGCAGGAAAGAGCCAATCAGCAAGGGGAAACAACTATGGGCCGATTCAAATATTGTAGCTCCTATCTGCACGGAGGCCACTGAAAACTGCTTCCGTGTGATCCGTGCAGAAGCGACAACAAAGCAGTTTTCCATGTGATTCACCCTACTTAGTAGGGAGCCTCCATGTCGGGAGAGTGACCAGTTAGGAGCACTTGCACTAGTAAACACTCTGCTCTTAACCCACCAATTGCTGCCTAACGCTTGTCATAGTCCATGGAACTACTCTGAAGTAAGTGGGTTCTGACTGCATACCTATTGCTACCCAGGTTGCAATGCCACTGTTTTATTTCAGTAAGATCATAATTTCTCAATCACTCCACCTGAGAACGAGGGCAGCTTCACATGTTTTAGCAAATGAAAAGCCTCTGCATTTCTATCAAGGCCTGTTTGTCCATGTTTCAAACACACCAATGCTCTGCGGCTATCGCAGAAAATGCATAGCCATCCATATTGGAAACACAGGGATTTCTCTTGTTCAGTAGAAGTGTATAAGGCAGCTCCGATTTGGGCTGTAGTTGTCAAATTACCTGTTTAATATGCAACCTTGATCCTGTGCACACTGACTTGGAAAGAACTCCCTCTGAAGTCAAAGGGGCTTGATCTCTATTAACAGAGCAATCCTAGCCCCTTATCTGTGCTCCTGGCATGCGTTAGGATGTGGCAAAGGTTTCTCTCTTCCATCAAGCTTAAGTCCCTGTGCATCCCTGCGCTCCACCCCCAGATGCAGGCTGCTGTCAAGCTACCACCAGTGGAAATTCTGTCAGCCCTAGCTGACGTAAGGCCCTAAAATGGGGCATTTTGTGGGGTAAGACCAAAGCCAAGAATGGATCTGCAACCAGTCTATTTCCCTCAGAGGCGTCCAATCCAGCAAAAGTGAGGACTGTGGCCTCCTTAAACCACAATTCATTGTTGGAGTGTGCATCACATAGTACAACCCAATGCATGTTCATTAAGTCACAAGTTCAGGGGGGCTTACTAAAGGTAAAGGTACCCCTGCCCGTACGGGCCAGTCTTGACAGACTCTAGGGTTGTGCGCCCATCTCACTCAAGAGGCCGGGGACCAGCGCTGTCCGCAGACACTTCCGGGTCACGTGGCCAGCGTGACATCGCTGCTCTGGCGAGCCAGAGCCGCACACGGAAACGCCGTTTACCTTCCCGCTAGTAAGCGGTCCCTATTTATCTACTTGCACCCGGGAGTGCTTTCAAACTGCTAGGTTGGCAGGCGCTGGGACCGAACAACGGGAGCGCACCCCGCCGCGGGGATTCGAACCGCCAACCTTTCGATCAGCAAGCCCTAGGCGCTGAGGCTTTTACCCACAGCACCACCCGCGTCCCTGGGGGGGCTTACTAGTCCCTAGTAAATCAGTTTAGGAAGAGGCCACAGTCTTTCAGTGTCTTCCCAATTCATTTATCCTATCCAGTAGAAAACAGTAACATAGTTTTATATAAGGCTAAAATATCAGTCATAAACTCAGAATTATTAGGACTGGCCATATGAAACACTTGTTAACTTTGTTGTTACGTTTATCCCAATTTGATCTCCTATCCAAACAGCAAACCTGGAGACAGGATTGTCACTCAAATGGCATTGGGCTTCACAACTGTGTTTCAGCCAGCAGTTCAACAGGTTCTGCCGTTCCCAGTAAGAACTACACCACAGCCACTTGTTCTGAACGCCTTGAATACTGGGACGCAAATATGATAAAATGCACAGCAGGAAGCAGAATCTATTTAACAATTGCAACAAAATTGTATGGAAGAAGGAGACGCAGCCCGCATCTTAAGTAGTTTATGTCTCTTGCTTCCATTCAACCCTGTTGCCGTTCAGCCAAAGGAAAGCAGCATCGCAGCGGACATCCGAGCTCGCAGTATTTCCACCAGCAACTTCTGTCGCTAATGCGAGGGAGCTGATCGACAACCTGCAGATCGTTACGGTCCACCCTCCCTGGCGCAGCATGCAGCCCAGTTTGCAAGTCCAGACCATTTCCGCTCGCTCTGCCGCTTCCCGTCTCCTTTCCCAACTGCACAAGGCAGCTGCAAAACGCACACACAGATACACACGCGCCCACCCAGCTCTCCCTCCGGCCAGTTGCGTGCGCGCGCGGGAAACGCACAGCCCGGGGAAGCGCCCCCAAGACTACATCTCCCAGCATGCCCGGCTGGGCGAGCGCCGAGGTGCGAGCCAGCTGTGGAGCACGGCGCCTGCGCTATGCTGCGGAACTGGCTGGGCCGTGCCACACCCCCGCGGAGGGAGGCAGCGAGCGCCTGTAACCTGACACCGTCAGAGGAGGGGAGGCAGGCGGGAGGGCGGGCTTTGCCTGTCGGCGCGGAGAATGGAGTAAGGGAGAGACGTAAGGAGGGAGGTGCGCGGACGGGACTCGAGGGCTGGACGGCGGAGAGCGAGCCAGCGAGCAGGCAGCGGCGCTTCGCCGAGGGAGGCAGCTCGACGGAGGGATCGAGAGGAGGAAGAGAAAGAATGCCCTAGGGACGGACGGCGGGACCGGGCTGCTCGCTTGCTTGCTGCTGCTGCTGCTGCTCCTTCCACGAGCGGAGCGGAGAGAGAGAGAGAGAGACACCCGGGCGCGCCTCCTGCCATTGACATCCTCGCCGCAGCGCCCTGACGGAGCTTGTCAATGGAGCTGGAAAACATCGTGGCCAACACGGTCCTGCTCAAAGCCCGCGAAGGTAAGCGAGCATCCATCTCTCGCTCGCTCTCTTTTCCGCCTGCCGCATTTCGCCCTCCCTCGCCCTGCGCGGTGGGGGGAAAGGGGCAAGGGGGGGATGGCGAGGCTTAGGGGCGCACGGTGGCGGAGCCGCGCGCAGGCTGGCAGCCCTCTCCCTGCGCGACGCGCACCTTTCGAAGGAATTCGCCTCGGCGGAGGTGGGCAGCTCGGCGGCATCGAGACGCCACGAAACTTCCCCTCCGGGCTCGCCCCTCCAGACGTGCGGGTGTGATTTCGGCGTGCATTGTTTGGAAAAGGTCAGCTGCGAACGCATCCGCTCCCGGGGAGCGCAGAAGCGAGAACTTCTGGCTCCGGAGCCCGGAGGGGGCTCTGTGTGTCTGGATGAGGTGGGCTGACGTAAGGGGGGGGGAGTGTGCAGAAACTAGCCGCCAAAGGGCTTTCTTGGGGTGTTCTCCGCGGAGACGAAGAGGAGAGAAATGGATGCAAGTAGACTTCTGCGAGGGGCAAATTCGCTGGCATGGGAAAAGCGCCCCGCCCCAACTGATGCAAAAGAAGGCATGGCATTCAAAGGAAGGGATTGAGGGGTGCTTTGATTTTTCTTTGCAGAAGCTGCTGTTATAATACGTCTGTGCGTGTGTAATTTAAATTTGCAAAATAAAAGGCGGGGGCTGGTTGCTTGTAGGGAAGGTATGATAGCCATCACTGCTCCAAATGGCTCCTGGGTTTATTATGACCATCGCCAGCTTCATCACTGGGAACACACACATACCCCAATCTGTTTTACTGTCTCGCATCATCTGGGTAGGGGAAGTGGCTTTCTCTTCTTGAATGACAGCATGTTTTCTTTTTTTCCTTTTATCCCTTTTGGCTCAGTCTAACCCCAACCTTTCAGAGGAGGATATCCTCTGAGAGAGGCAGTTACATCTGAAGGGCTTGCCTTTCGAAGACAGGCTTGCAGTATCTGAAGCTCTCATTCACACCATTTGATGAATGAAGAGCCCCCCCCCCAAGTCAGAACCAGAGGCAGGTCCTGTGTGCTACCTTTTGACCATTCCCAGGCTGATGGACACCTCCTAATAGAGGTGGAGAAGGTGGAGGAGAGTGTTCTTTATCTAGGAGAGCAGCAGGGGAACAATTGCAGCTGCTCAAAGCGACCCAAGGCATTCATTTTCCACTTGTGCCACATCCCTGGTGCTCTTTAATCAGGTAGTGGGTGGGGTGCTTTAATCTCAGCCTTTTGTTTCCTTACCTCTGAGCCCACCAGCACGCTGTGATTATTTAAACGTCTCACCCTCAATGCTAGATGATCCATTCAGAAATGCATCTAATGGCCCCCTAACTAATTTTCAGACTGTGGTCTGGATTGCATAAGCGGTTGGGGAGGGCCTGTAGAGAGATGGTCCCTGTATTACCACACAGGCTGCATTAGGCGGTCTTTCAAATTTTATGAATGTAGTGTCTCGTCTAACTTCTCGTATTGAACCTCGTGAAACTCTTACAAGGATACCTCCCATAGTATCCAGAGAACAATGTGCATTTGCGCAATTGATTACCCAGTAAATATAAACATTATGTAAGAATATAGGAGATAAATGCTGAGCTAAATATTGAGCTATGCCCCTAATTATTTTCGGTAATGAAATGTGGACAGAATAACATGCCTGATCTGAGGGGAGAAACAGACATTGTTCATAACACACTTGGCAAAAATCCTTGCATATCACTAAGAGCTTTTCTAAAGGCACTGTTAGTATTAATGAAAGAGGCAGCACATACTCTCTCTCTCCCTCTCTCTCTCTCCCCAGCAAACGCTAAAGGGAGAAATGGTCCCAGAACATCTGTGATGAGCCATCTAGTGGCTGAACATTAGCATGCATTTAATGGTTAGGGGGAAACTTTCGAACCTTTTTGCAGGTTTCAGAAAAAGTACTTGTGATCCATTTGTTGTTGGTTTGACTGGCGAGGTGGAGATGCAGTTGTTTTCTTTGCTTGAAGGTATTGGTTCGTCTGCAAGGGGAGGTTAAATGCTCACACAATCCTCACATGGATGCTTTTTGAGGATTCTCCCCCCCCCTAGAAAGAGCATGAAGCAGTGTTTGCACATTTTAAACTGCTACAGACTTGTGCCTCTGTTTATTAGAGGCTCAAGGAGGATTCACACATGACTGGTTTTGTTCTCTATGCAGTTACTTTCTAACCTGTAATTGGAACAAGCCAGACACTTGAACATTCTTCAGACGTATTACTACCGTGTGACTGTTTCTTTCCTGCTTTTCTTCTTCCAATGAGTTTTTGTGATGGATTTTGATTCTCCTGTTGCTCTTCCAACCGACTTCAGTTATTGCATGTATTTATTTATTTCACCGCCTTTAATATTGTGGAATGTTTCTGCCACTCGTAATATTTTACTTTACAGTTTTTAATGTGAAACGTAACAACGGTGCACCGCTGTGAGTGCGCGAAATGATATGTCTAAATACTGGGTTGTAATGGAGTGCTTTAAATTGGTCTATTTGTCGTTTCGCGTTCATACAGAATTGTCTGCTCAAGACGTTTCAATCCACATCAGTTGTTCAACAGAACCCAATGTTGATGAAATGTTCAGTTTGGAATAGGTTCCTCTTGTGCAATCCAACACTTATCAGCTTCTCCTTTTTTTCTTTTTCTTTTTTAAAAGGAAGCCTATTTCCGTCTGTAATGGCTCTTCAGAGGTTACACTGGTTTTCCGCTACTTTTTTCAACAAATGGACACAATGTAGGGCAACACATGTTAATCTTAGCTATTTTTTTTTTTAAAATTGAATGTTCAGATCACATTTCAATAAAACATAACCATAAACCCAAAGACAACATGCATTAGTCATTTCAGAATAAGACATACTTCAGCTGCGACATAGGACAGGTGAAGAAACACTATATAATAATGTCTGTCAGCCTAAATAGACCTCAAGTATAGACATAGTTGAGGCAAGGGGGGAGATTAGTAGAAATGAGTGTCCATATAGCTATTGGATGTTTACCTTCCAACTGAACATGGGAGGTGCTTTAATGCAGATCCTCCCTGAATCCTGCCTTAATATTCCAAAAATCCAAGCCAATATTTTCCTTTCCAAATTAGTTTTGCCTGTAATTCTGCATATAATCTGTGACTGGTCACTCCTTTGCAACTGTTCTTCGTGACTAGTGCAGAAATGTATCCCTTGAGCCAGCAGTTTTAAAATCTGTTCAGAGAGCTATACTGTCACCAGAAAGCAAAGCAATACACAAATCATCTTTGGCGACAGGAGCAGCGCTGCGTTCCCCACTGTTCTTTTGATCCTGTGACCAAACATTCAGCCGCAATTTGCAAGCCACAATTTTTTAAAAATAAAAAACAACATCGCCGGCAAAATACACCGTCACAAAAATAACAAGCAAGAGTTGTAGATCGGTGATTGATAGCATGCTTTCCATGCAAAAAGTATCAGCTGGCATCTCTAGGTAGGGGGAGGGATATATTGAACCCCTGGAAATTTGTTGCCATTCAGTATACAGTACTGAATTAGAGCAATGATGTGACTCAGTTTTCCTGTGTTCCAGTCGTGGCCTTTTGCAGAATATTAATAATTAAGTTACTTTTGCAAAAATATTTGTTGCAAATCATTTAGTTTCGGAAAGTCTCTTACCTTAACCATGGTCATTTTTCAGCATCTGGACCTTCAGCCATCTACGTTTTAGAGGAAACACTTCTACTGCAAACTTCAGCTGCTTGATCTTTTTGGTATATGCACACTCCCCCTGTGCTACAGAACTAGGTTTAAAATAGTCATTCCGCTTGTCCAGTGGTGGGATACACTTAAGCAATTCTGGAGAAGCTTAATCACAAAGGTCGAATACGTAGGTTAAGAATAATCCAAGTTATGTCATGACATTTTGGAAACCTTTACATTCTAAGAGACTTTCGCCCAGACATTTCAGATAACAGCTTGGTGTGGAGGCCTTGATGTTTCAGAAAGGAGAGATAGAGGCTAAAAGCAATGTCAGTACAGCAACCAGGAAGTGGACCAGAAGATTAATGTAGTAATAAAGTAAAACCTGCCATCATTTCAGCCATGGCTTCTGCTTCCTAGATGAAGTATTACCGTATTTTTTGCTCTATAAGACTCACTTTTTCTCTCCTAAAAAGTAAGGGGAAATGTGTGTGCGTCTTATGGAGCGAGTGCAGGCTGCGCAGCTATCCCAGAAGCCAGAACAGCAAGAGGGATTGCTGCTTTCAGTGCGCACCGATCCCTCTTGCTGTTCTGGCTTCTGAGATTAAGAATATTTTTTTTCTTGTTTTCCTCCTCCAAAAACTAGGTGTGTCTTGTGGTCTGGTGGTGCGTCTTATAGAGCAAAAAATACGGTATATTGTTCAAAAGAATCCAGATAACTGAAGGAAAATGCTTCGTATGTTTGTCCATTAAAGTTAGCCAGCCTGCCTAGTTTGATGATGTGGCATGCACAAGATTTTTTGGGGAGTATTTTATTGACATTGCATATCATTTTTATTTATTATGCCATAAACTGCTCTGTGACTGCTATGGAATAAAGGGAGGTTTAAAAATTTGGTTAATAAATAAATGTGATGTTTATTATTATACCAGAATCAACAGGGATAATTCATACCATACAAAATATTGTTCAAGCATTGCTATAACTAACAAATTCCAAGTTTCTCTGCTACACTGCCAAAACCATATGTGAGTATAATTTTGAGAATAAAGAACTGGTGTTCTCTACTTTTTTGAGGGGGGGGGGAAGCAACATTTTTCTGTTTTGCATCTCTTGATTTTAAACGATTCTGTGTGATCTGATGTGCACACAAAAGGAGTTTTGGAAATCCTCCCACAAGCATTCCGGAGTGAAGTGTTATAAACAGCTCATAGGATTGGTCCGGGGAAGTTTACCCAGGCAAGGTGTTCAGCTGTAACCTTTTAATGTGTTTGCTGGTGGCTTAGCCTCAAAAAGTTATTGCAGGAATGA